TGTGAGAACACAGAGAATAAATGCACTTTCGCCATAACCTACCAACATGACTCAGTCCACTTGCCAACGATTTCACGGATTTGTACCATGTTTTAGTTTGGCCACCCCTAGCTTTCTTCCGACCTACTCCGACATCACAAAACATAGCTCGACGAGGCAGTTGCTAGTTAGACATATGCAACACATTTACCAACCACCTCAACTGATGAAGTTTCAATACTTCATCTTCTGACCTGCTATTCTTACGTAGCACCCGTTTCCTAACAACAGCATTGCTTACTCTGTTGTCCTATTCTACACGAGCAATGCTGTGGAGACAATTATGATCGAAAACCAGTAACCTACAAATATCTTCTACTCTCACTGGCCATGTTTCACAGCCATGTGAAAGGACGGAGCAAACTACTGCTCAGTACACTCTTCCTTTAGTTAGCAATAAACCTCGTAGTAGAAGGTCTACTACTGAAAAGTCATACGAAGATAATTTTATGTCTAGGAGCATGTCTATGACAAAATTAAACAAGAGTAGGGAAAGTGGACATCCCTGATGGACACCACCTGAAGTAAACAATGCCGATGACAGTTCGCCAAAAGCTTTAACTAGACCTGTAGTGTTTGAGTAGAGAGCTTGGATAAGGTTAATGTACTTTTTTGTACACCTTTTGATGACAGGCACTACCAAAGAACCTCACAATCCAAAGAGTCAAATGCTGCCTTGAGGTTCAGGAAGACAACTATTGTCGGACGACTGTATGTGTGTCTGTGTTCAAGGACCTGTCGTAGTGTGAAAATGTGGTCTATAGAACCACGTCCAGGTCTGAAACCAGCCTGGTTTTTTCTTGTCTGCTTTTCACGAGCTCTAGTTAGGCGTCTAAGAATAATCGAGGCTAATTAGTATTCTGTTGTAGTGAATCATTATGTATGCATGTTTAATGAGCAATTAAAGTTGGAATTTCGTATGACAAAAAATGATTGTACTTGATAAAATGATACCAATGTAACTAACAAGATAGATGAAGAATATTTTGTTAAAATGTCAGATATCCTAGAAGTACTTAGACAATTAGTTAACCTTAAACACCTTCGAGTCTAAATTCTGTGAAACTCTGATGACTGCTTGCAGAATACTCTCATTAAACAAAAGACAGTTTGGATGCTTGTGAACAGTAGCGAAACGTTCACAATCAACATGCAAGGTGTTTAGGTTATTTAGGTTCACTCCATTTCGCTCACAATACCTCAGGTCCTAGGTTCGAATCCTGCCGCGTTCAGGAGTCATGGATGCGCGCTGCATGCATGGACTCGCATACCATAATGAAACGGCTTTCTATCAGTACTTCCAGGTTTCTTCTAGTGGTGGTCTAACATTGATTGATTCCTGGTTTCAAAAATGTGCAACTTAACATTCTTCACAACCCCGTAATACAAATTTAAATGCAACATCATTTACATAACTGTCTGTCTAAACTGTGAAAAATTTTTCACAGTGATAGATACAAGAAACCGGACATTTAAGTACCATTATCATATTTATATGCTAATCTTTACGATTTACAATGACCATTTTCAGTTAAATAGATGAAAACTCCACAAAATTCGAGGTATATGAGTGATGTGACAAATGTTTAACTTGCGAATTTCGTCAGGCTGCTAATAATAGAGGTTCAAGTCAGAACACAACTAGGTTTTTCTTTGAGATAAACTTATTTAGACTGTAACTATTATCTACACTTGCTTACTTTATTACTTACACATAATTTAATTTTCATGCACACACACTATTGCATAATATGTTCAATAGAATATGTGAACTTATTATTTTCTTTATCTGACACAAAAAACCAACAACACAGCTCATTTTTGTGATTGAAATAAACTTTTATTGCAGTCAATTATTGAAAGAACGGCATTCGAAGAAATTTTCTTTTATTGTTCTATTCTTTTTAAAACATTTGTTTTAATTTGACAATCGGAATATGCTGTTGAATTATATTTTTTAGAATGTTATTCATAAAATTTTGTTTATAAGTTAGTTACTTTTTAACTCATAAATTTGTCAAATGGAATAAGTTAAGCTTTAAAATAAGCTTTAAAAGTAACTGGTGTAGGTGTTTTAGCCAACTTTAACCATTCGAAATTGTCTAAAGAAAGAGAGATTGTTTGAAAATTTAAATTTTCAATAGCCTAATCATAATTTAGCATTAAACCCTGATAATAGATTTGAATAAAATGGATTAAACAAGAAAAATTAATCAGATAACTTAAAGTCAATGAATGGTAGGACAAGTTCTGATTTTTTTTTAAACTGTATGTTTACGTATGATATATATCATTTTTCGAAAACACTAAATGATAGTTATGTGAAGATTGTTTTAAACAGAACATATCAACTAATACACTTAGAAGTATGTTTGTTGAGTCCTAGAAACGTCATTATTAATTATGTGTCAGTATTTTCTTTATTGAAGAAGTTTCACATTCACTGGTAAATATTAAGTTATTCTGCTTACATTGTTTTAGCCTTAGATTTATTGCAGGTAAGATATTTTTGCCGAATCAACAGTTAACTATACAGACTTAACAATGGTTACGTTATTTTTTGCCTGCAGTTGACCAAGATGAACTCTACTGGTCACAGCTTCTCACTAGAACTCTAAGGATTTTCTGACGGAGATAGACACTAGCGAGTAGGTTTCACGCTTTTTTTTTTATTGTAAAGGGATTTCGCAAGTTTCTAATGGTGATCTAACGATGATTGATTCACGATTTCAATAATAATAATTACACATAACATTATTCGTGTGTGTATTTCGTGATTAGAGAAATTTGTACCAATACAGTCATTACTTTGTTTGTAGTGCCTATTTAAATCAGTTGTCATGTGAAACGATTAGTTATTAACAATTCTTGGAAAAAAAATGATATCATGTATTGTAGAGTTCCACTTTAAATATATCGACTTAAGAACACCGCTTTCTATTCTTGGATTTAGTTGTTATTGTCAGTTATAGTGTCAGAGGGCGTTGGTTAACAACGACCGAATCGCGACATTTTTTTCGATTTAAAAAACGTTGTTTTGCATATCGAAATAAACAAAAACAATTTATCATTAAAATAACTTCGTACAATAGAACGCAAATCGGCTATAGAATCACATTGTATTGTATTATGGCTTATAAATCTTGACTTAATAATCAAGTTTATCAGATAATGTGTATTAGAAAAAAATAATAAATGTTTTCATTGTAATAAGAGATTATCAGTGATTTTTTGTCTGATAGTGAAATAAATTATCAACATTATTAACTTAACGACCTCATCTATATTCTGAGTAGAAAAAATTCTGATATGAAATCATGTGATGTGATGATGAATGAGAATGAAGAAGATATGCACACACACACACACACAAAGAAGACTTAAACTTTCATTGAAAAAAGAAGAAAAATGAATAATTAAGATACTTTTAATTTTCATTGTTTTAATGAGTCAAATGATGTTTTTTTGTTTAAACTAGAGATATGATTTTGTGATTTTGAGTTGAAGCCCTAGTTTGTAGAATTTTAATTAGGTTCGGATTTGCTATTTTTTTGATGAGGAATAGATTGTCTGATCTTCATTTGACTCTGTCTTAGGCTCCTTGTCCCGGTTATTAGTCAACTTTTCCATATGCGTACTAATTTGTTTTGTTTAATAGGCTCCTTTTCTTTCAAAAAGATGTGTTCAAGTTGAAACTTGCTTTGTTGAGCAGGCTTCTTCTGGTTCCTTTATCAATAGGAACCTGGCTTCTTTTCTGCCACTGTAAATTATTACTAATATTCATTGGCCCTTGAGTCTGCAGTATCTTGTTAGAAAGTTACTGATACACACTTGTGCATTTTGTGTGATGACTGTGGTAATTTTGCAAGCTTCACTTCCGGACGACAGAACTGTCCCAACTTGATTAACAGCCCTTTTACAAATTCCAAATATTGTTCATACTTGTCAATACATTCCTCAGTATGTCATTTCATGTCATACCATCCATACTATACATATTCCTTGTTTGAACCTTACAGAAACCCAGGATAGAGTCAAAGAAGATGATAAAAAACAATATATTACTCAACCGAATATTCAGTAATCTGTAGAGTTCTACGAAAGCTCTGTAGTAGTCATTGATATTTACAGTATTAAATAAAACATGTAGTTTAGTACTTTATAAACTCGGTAAAAACTTATAATAATCTTAACTTTCTCAAAGATAAAAATAAAATCAGTTGTTTCTTAACTCGCCGAAGAATCTAATCTACAACACTGTCACGATAAATATGACTGGTACAATACTTTATAGTGAAGAGTCCCATGCCAGGACGAAACGGCTGTCCAGTGCTCCCAGATTTCTAATGATGGTCTAACATTGATCGGTTCGTGGTTTCAAAAATGACTACTTTATATTCAGTAAACCATCTTGACAATGTGTATGTACTATCAGTTATCAAATTTATTATTTCATCATATTCATCTTAAATAGTCAAATTTAAAAAATTTTAAAAAAATGAAGATAATCATATGACCGATTTTTTCTTATTATTCATGATTACAAACACCAAATTTACACTTAAAAGACGAATTCACATGAAAAAAAGACATAAACAAATAACAAAAATTCGAAACAAAAATTATAAAACAAGACATTGAACATTGAACAGTAAACAACAATGCTTGAACAATGAATATATCGAAGCAATTACAAAGTAATAATCATAATCACCATAATAATAATAATAATATTCTTAATTATTTTTGAACATTTGAACAAAAAAAGGAACTAACAAAGACTTTTCATTCTGGTGATGAATATCGATTTTGTTTTGTTTTGACAAAAAGAAAATGTTTCTTGTTTAAATAAAGTGGAAAAATGCGTTAAATTAAAAACTTTTAAATATTTATAAATAAATAATCATTTATTGAAATATTATTTTACCTTGCCATTTCAAATTATAATCAGCAGTATAATGATAAAAGGAGGAGAAAACGCTGTTGATTTTTGAACAATAATAAAGTTTGTTTAAAAACGATTAAAATCATGTAATATGTCTTATGAACTTTGACTGTTTAATTTATTTGTCTTATCTAAGTTGACTGTTGATGTTTGATTAATCGAAGTAGATGATGTGATTTTTTGTGAAACTGTACTATTATTTATATTGTTGACATTGGAATTTTGATTGATTTCATGACAAAGAAATATTTTTGCAAATATTTGACGAAAATATGACATCATTGAAATGAATACAACGAAATTACACATAGAATCCAATGTAATCAATGTATTACCAATGGTTTCTAGGATACGACTTAATCGATGATTCGTCAGAAGTTTTGCTGTTTGACATATTGAAACAATGAAATTCATGCATTCTAACAGACCGAACAATACAGCAACGATCAATACAATTTGTGTTGCTCTTAATTGACCTTGTTGACGTTTTCTTAGCGCATCTTGTTGTACACAGCTTTGTTGTTGTTGTTGTTGTTGTGATTTTTGTAGATCAGGTAGATCATCCAAAGATTTTGTATTGTGAGAGAATAAAATCGATTTGTCATCAGTTTTCCATGGTTTCAAACCGAATAATATCGACATAGTAAATATAACAATAATAAACCATGGAATAACTGCTTGATATGGTAATACAATAAATGTCATATATTTAGAAAATCCTTCATAACTCCATAAATATTCAACTGACCATAAACCATATTTTTTATTATTTTGATCATAACACAAATGACCAATATAATCGGTATGTTTAAATGCTGATATTACAATGGAAATCACAACAAATATCATGAATACCAAAGTGAATCGACGTGGATTTCGTAAAATACGTTGCCATGCTTTAGAACCTAATGGCCAAATAACTACTTCAGCTCGTGCAGCCGTAATCAAACATATACACCAATTTCTACACATTAAACCAATATCAGCCAGAAACATGATCACATTTTGTACAACTGGAATTACAATGATACGCATATCTGGTGGTTTATGATTTGTTGTTGAATCAATCGGTATTTGATGAATGAAATTCGGTGAAGATATTTCAATGAGTTTGAAAATAAATGCGGAAAAATTGAAAATCACTTCGAATAAACTTAAAATAATCAGACTTGTTAAGAAGGAGCTTCTTGATCGACTGTGTTTTTTGGGTTTTTGCGTCGTTTTTGATATAATTGACGAAGTGGTTCCGGATTGTTTTTCATGTTTTACTATGGATGATGAAGAGGCTATACGATTGATGGTGAATTCACCGAATAGAAATATAAATAATGTGATAGCATTGATAATAAACGCAATTAATGTTAAACACAATATAGGAATTTGTTGCCATTTTTCCGGCAATGACATTGGTTTACCATATTTATTTGGATCGGCAACATCTGCACAATGTCCAAGATAAAATACATTATAGTAAAATGTAAATGAAAACTGTAAATTGCTAGTATTAGTTTGTGACATTTTTTCTTTTTTTTTTGATGGTAGTGTTTGCTAAGTTGGACAACTATTTTTTTTTTGTCTACATAAAATTATGTTCATAAAACTGATAAACACAGTGATATTAATACTTAGAGAATACGTTGTTTTGGTAGGCTATTTTTAAAACTGACTGCCGATTGGCTGTTACGTCATATTACATGTATGTACAAAATGCACCAATCAAATGCAGACAAATGCACACATTAGTTTTTGGCCTTTTTTCACGCTGTAAAAATAAAAAACCAATCAATGATTGATAGAACTAATTGAAGAAGCCCGCTTCGAGACGAAGTACGCATTGATCATGTGGTCAAGGATGGCGATGTAATCCTGCTAATCAGAACATTTAACTTAGAGTACTCATTAGCACCGAAAGCATTGCTAGAGTTTGAATTATTCACCGTCATAAACAAACAAACAAACATAAATATTTTCGGGCAGAGTTTTGGAAGTTTGTGTTTTTGCACATATGAAATCATCAATCAGTCATTGTTAGACAACCATTAGAAACCTGGAAGCACTGGACGGCCGTTTCGTTCTGGTATGGGACTCGTCAGTAGTGCGCATCCACGACTCCTGCACCTCGCAGGATTTGAACCGGGGACCTTCGGTCTTGTGCACAAACGCCTAACCATCGTACCACTGGGCCAGTATCCAACGATGTTATTGTCTAACTCTGATTGTCGGATGTAGGCAGTAACTACCAAGGACAGATGGGTGAGGTCGCGCAAAATTCGTAGATCAGTCAGAGTTAGAAAATAACGCCGTTGGATGCCGGTCCAGTGGTCCGATGGTTAGGCGTTTGCGCACAATACCGAAGGTCCCGGTTTTGAATTTTACCAGGTACAGGAGTCGTGGACTCGCACTGCTGATGAGTCCCATACCAGGACGAAATGGCCGTCCAGTGCTTGCAGGTTTCTAACGATGGTCTAACAATTAGTGATTGATGATTTCAAATGTGTAAAAACATAAATATGTTACGCAGTAAACACCTGTTAGAAAAATTCAGTATAACCATGTGACTGAAGAATTTTTCCAGTGACCTGTTTGAGTTGGACGACTCAGGAGAAAACAGCTAATAAACGCAACATCTAGAAGGAGATAAAAAATCGTAGATTTTAGTAAATTTTTTTTCAACCATCGAACTATTCAGACAAGATTTAGAAATATTGACTGAATCTATTAGTGTTCCACACACAAATAAAGTTAAATGAATTTGAATTTCGGATGATAAAGAAAAGTCATAAGCGTTGGGGTTAGGAGAAAAAATACATCTTTTCGTGTGTGTGTATTTATATCAGTTTTGATTATTATTACAAGTTTTGTTGATTCAAGCTGTCACCAAGTATCCATAAAAATTATTTACTTGCCACACGCAAACTAGTCAAAGTATTTACATTATACTAATTGCAATCATAACAATTTATTGTTTCCTGTTTATATAAACTAGTTTGTCAACCAGACCTACCACAGAAAATTAATTTATTGATATGAATTAGTTAATTTTCATAATTTCCAATCAAGAACTGATCTTAGTTAGATCAACGATGGAAACTTGAGTGCATTGGATCGCCATTTCGTTTTGAGTATAGGACTCCAACAGTATGCATTAACAATAGCATGCACACGGAAACCGATTCAGACACTAGTAATTACCTTTGAAAAGAAATTTCAAGCTTCCCAGTGAGAGACCGTAACAAAGAGAGTTCAGTGTATATGAGGTGTAAAAATAGTTATTCATTGCAGAAATTAGATGAGGACTTCATAGTATCGCTGACTGATTAAAGTTAAACAATGTCACTGTTGAATACTGGGTCATAGGACTCAACGCCTAAAGTTAGCATGTGTAACCGGAAGTCCTGGGTTCGATCCCTAGATGAGAAGTTTTCGATTCATATTGCCTAACAGTTCCACATCAAGAGGAAACGGGGACGTGCAGTGCTACCGGTTTTTCAGTTTAAATCTAGTTAAGACCAGTTCACGGTTTAAACTATAAACCTTCTACAATCTCACCGAAATTAAAACTAATAAAATTTTCGGCTTGATTTTTCAACACTATAGTTATCTAGACAAATTGAAATCTAGCTGTTAGATGTTGAATGAATAGACATTTTCTTTAAATTCTGTGTAATTGTCATTTAAATAATCGAGTATGAAATGAATAAAATGTAAACTACAACTTGTGGTGGTGTTTCGTTCTCTGAGCTGGTTGTTTTGGTTGTGGAGCTTTCAGTGTTCTTCTGAACAACATCATCAGCACAAACTTCAGATAGAAGTGAAGCATTCGAACCAAAACAACCAGCTCAGAGAACGAAACACCACCACAATCATCCACTTGAGCTACAAGTTCTCTACACCATCTCAGTAAGCTACAACTCCTGTTTTTATTAGGAAGCTGTAAACAGTGAACTTAGACATTTTCGCATTTGAGACAGTGTTACCTGTTGTATGCAATAGAACAGGGATCGACAGTATCGTAAGTTCATAGGAAATGAACATGCAAACAACTGGATAACGGTTAACTGGTTTCGGGGTCAAGCATTCTTGTGTAAGATGGAAGGTACCGCATTTGATCTGTTGTAGTGAAGTCGTAGGTGAGCAATGTTGAGGAGCCCTTTACTAGGAAGACACTTTTACTCAGTGATTCTTGGCTTTCAATTAATATGTAAATAAGATCAGTTCGTGATTATAGGAATATGATATATAGGTTATGAAAAAGTGGGAAATTCTAGTGTTTCAGTGGAACAGTGCAGTTCTTCATTTGGCTCTGGTTTTACTGTTTCGATCTAATTCAGCGATTCTATTTGTTGCTGCAATATAGAAGTGTTATTTAAAATCCCCCCCCCACGAATTCATTTTCATTGTTTTGTGGATGCTGAATATTCTAACAGCCTTAAAAAACTTTAAAAATTTGTTAATAACACCGAAAAACTGTGACCACTGCATTGCATCAACCATTGAACTTCAGTTGAATATAATACATCCCTATATATTATTTTACCGCCAAAGTAAGAGAAATCCTTGATTAAAATATGCTTAATATCTCGTAAACTATGATGATTTGTCCGAAGTATTATAAGAAATGCTTTTTTTGAAGATAAGTTTTTGATATTTTGAATATGTTCTCATCCGAAGTTTTAAAAAAATAAAGAAATCAAGTTCTTGAAGCGTACAAAAGCATAATCTTTCATTAAACAAATAACTAGCCATTGATACTTTCATAAAAATGAATATTTTTATCCTTTATACAGCTGATTCACTTTTAAACACTAGCACACTCCATGTAAATTTTAACTACATATTTCCTTCTTATTCTTGTTATGTTTTTAGTGAATAAAGTACAAATATTTTTACCATTTTATCGTGTATTTAACGAAAACAAAACCATCCGTTTATAACCAATAAATAAATGCAGCATTTTATTGATTAGTTTGTCGATGGAATGATCACAAGTGTTCAATAGGGGATTCATTATGTTAACACGAATTTATAGTTTAATTTCAAATAGAAAAAACAAACTTTGTTTCACTAGAGACTTCTTGAAATTTAACTGGTGTTAAAACTTCAAGCAAATAACCATCATATGTAATTTTTTTATATGTAATTTAACTTTCATGTCGTACAGTGTTTGAAGGCAAATAAATATCTTTGCATGTTACTTGTACTAATGCCTATTAGGTTTTCCAGAATTCAAACATAAAGTCCCAAACAGTCAGTGAGTAGATGGGATTTCATTCATTCTCTGCAGTTTGGTAAACTTTATATACGACTACTTCTTCTGATGCGGTCTACTCACACTCTATGTAGACTGGTTTTTACCTTAACTGATGGAAAACCTCATGCATGATATCATGCTACAAATCAGGAGACAAAACTGATATAAACAATTATCAGTCCACATATATATTACTCCAGTTAGCTCTTGGATAAAGGGATAAATTGTTTGTTGGTGAAGAACTTTCCAACTACTTCTTCACTGAGTAACCTGTCACTGATTCCCAAATGGCTCTCGTTAAAATCGATTTTGAATGACATGCTGCTTTGAATTCTTCAATTCAGTGGTTACCAAAAATTTCTAGTTTTAGTGATATACGTTGACATTTTTCAAGCTCTTAACATGGTTAACCACCAGCTTTGTAAACCCTCTACTTGCTTGTTTCCATACTTTTCTCAGTCTTCAACACCAACTGATCAAAATAAACTCATCCTTATCGGATTCTGTCCAGGTCAAAAATTAAGTTATACAAGATAGTGTTTTAGGTCACTTGCTCTTTTTTTAGCCAATATAATGGTATTTATGATTATTTTTGTGCAGCTAAGCCTCTTCTGCATGAAGTTGATGTCAGAGTGACATATTCATTCTTTTGTCAGAAGCTGAACGACATGAAAAACTGCATCAGTTTGGAGCTCACTTGGGTGACACAATGGTTTGTAGTGCCTCCACATATATCCAGTTCTCTTACATCTAACTTGGTTAAGCCCTTTCGATTAATTTATTTAACCAAGCCATTTGTATAGCAACAACTCATATGTACCATTGGTATTTTTTATTATCTGGTTTGTATGAGCATGTATTGATGAATACGTTTATTCGCGACACACCACAAAGCGAAGCGAATCGGAGAAGGCTAAGAGCCAATTCAAAGAGACAGAGCAATGACTAAGAATATATAGTCAGACAAAAATAAGACAGACATATGACAAGCGAAATAGGTATGCACACACATGAATAAAAGCGACGAATGATTGACAAGGTCAAAAGCACGCGATACAAATCATGTGAGTTCATGGGGTTATTAAGAGATTAACATTAAAGCGAAAAGGATGAGTAAGCGCGTAGGCGTAAGCAATGCTCAGTGGTACATATGAGTTGTTGCTATACGAATGGCTTGGTTAAATAAATTAATCAAAAGGGCTTAAACAAGTTAGATGTTAGAGAACTGGGATATATGTGGAGGCACTACAGGTTCACAAACTATAAATTGGT